CTGCCAAGCATGGTAACTACTGGCAAAATTCTCCTTATGGGGAAAGCTTATGTCCAGTACTGGACAGTTAACGGCTGAAATAATAAAAAAAATATATAAATATAAATATAATTTTATTTGTTTATTGAATGGATTGTTATTTTTATAATACATATGTTCGTTCACCTATTAAATACTACGTATAAGAAAAAAAGAGTCAGATCATAAGGTATTTTCAAAAGGGTTTGGTGCGGAAGGTTTGATAACAATTCTGTAATAGCTTTTACAATATCAATGTAAGTAGAAAAAAGTTACTTAAGGCTTATATGGATTGTGGAGTAAGCGTTGTCTATTTCACTTTATGTCTGTGTTAGACAACTTGGAGGTATATAATTTAGCACAAAATTGTTCAATACATAAATTTTACAGTCATTTATTGACGTCACTGTCAATAAGTAACTTAACTAAGAACAAATTGAAATTTAAAACAAAAATAATTATGAATAGATTTAATATACATAAAATTTTAGTAATGAGAAGTTTTGTTTAAGTAATTATTATAGACATAAATAAATAATACAAAAAATTAAACCACAAACATGGTTTTGTTACAAATTAATATAGAATAAATTCTTTCAAATATATAAATAATTAAACAATATATTATCATTACTTTAATTGTCAGTAAGTTGGTTTAAGGTAACTCAGTATCTTTATCACTCACACGATACAATACCACAGATAATACAAACACTTTTTTTTCCAACTGCCGCTACCGTGTTATATTACGAATTCTTGAAATTCTGCCAGCCTTATTCCGCAAATTCTGCGCAATGTTCGCATTTCGACCGCATTTATTTCACCTAGTATTCTTTTTCTACACATCCAAGTCTCATAACCAATACGTATGTACTTTTTCCATGCTGCAAAAGAAACTACACTAACTACTTTACTAGTTACTTGTAAAACGCAAAGTTTTACTTCTTATCTAGAAAGAGCGAGTGTTATAAAACGTTGTATTAAGTATCTTATTAACGTAATAAAAATGTAACTAGACGACGTCTATGGTAAATGTAGAAGTTATTTAAAAAACAAATATGGTCCAACTAACAGCAGTATTTTCTAGAAATTTTGTCTGTTCGTCTGTCTATGTTTGTTCCGGCATCATGTAAAAACGAAATTGGATTCGGTGCTCACAAGTGAGTTCCTGAAAGGCTAACTTAAAGTTTAATACGCCATCTAGAAGTGGTCTGGGGACTACCATGAAATGAAATTTCGAATTTTGAGATTCAGTTTTTTGTTTTTGTTCATAACCAAATCGACCCAGTAAATGGAGCTTAACATGCCGTTTTTCATAAATCATACCATAAAAAACCAAAGGAATTTCATTTTAGCATTTATAATATTTTTAATGGTATGTGTCATGTAATTTTAATATCAAATTTATGTTTCGTTCGGACCCGAAATTTCGGAAAACATTTCATGGTAGTCCCTCTGTTTAGTTGATTTTTCTACTATTGAGGTCTGGGAGAAACGGATTGTTAGTAATAGGGTCTAACTGACCCATTGCCAGCAATACACCCTATCAGGTCGACCTTCACGTGGTTCCCCCTGGAAACCATCGTGTTCTATTTCAAGTGAATCCATCAAGATAGGCTAACTGACCTACCTTTTCATTCTCACCTATCATCCCACACTGGTGCTTCGTCAGCGTATACTATTAGCGCGGGTGCGGTCACCATTCCATTATCATTCATTAAAAAAAAAGACTATGAGTATGATGTCATGGATAAAAGCTAGTTTTTAAATTAATTTTAAATAGGTAACAAACTACTAGGTATATTAATAGCGATATTCGTATCTAGTGGAATTCGTCACGATTAGCTAACTGACCTGCTTTCATCCTCACCTATCACTTCTCACTGGTGTTCCGCCAGCGTATATCGATAGCGCAAGCCGGGTAACCATTATTACCCATTAAACAAAAACTACTGAGATCCACACGTATGACGTAGCGTGCAAAAATTAAATGACAATACAGTAATTTTTTTTATATAACTTAGAATGGCTAACAAGCTGACGGCCCATCTGATGGAAAGTGGTGACCGTCGCCTATAGACATGAGCAGTACCATGGACATAACAGAATATACTGTTTCGCTCATAATACTCTCCATACGTTGCCATTCCTGAGGACTCAGGTGGTATTCCTCTCTACCCTGAAAAATCACGCCATATCCCACCCTTAAAACCGAAACACAGCCATGCAAACACAATAAAAATGCAAATAAATGAAAAGATGATTTGAAGGATAAAATAAGTCTAATATGAGATTAATAAAATATAAAATATGTAGAAGAGTGCCCCATTTTTATAAAGAGATAAGACAGTTTTATTTAGGTAATTAAGTCAGCACATTTCTTAGGATACAAAATACAAATGTGTTATATTGTACATATTTTATTGTGATATTAAACCTTTCTCCAGTAATGTGTCATCAAAAACTTTTTTTTTTTAAATCAAATTGCCATTATAAAATATTAGTATATATTATACCACGTTTATCAAATCATATTTATTACATATTTCAAGTTTATTACATATTTGTAGTCACGTTGTATACAAAATCGTAATATTATTAATGGTATAAAAGCAGTAATGGTTGACTACAAATGGTTATGAATTTTACACAACAATAAAGAGTCTAAATCATCCACCCACAAATATTCACCTCCGTTTGATTCCTACTACATATGCGTTATAGCATGTGTAACTATTGTTAGAACAATGTAAACAAACATAAAAGTATACGGTAGAAATTTTTTCTCACCTGACATATTTAATAAACAATCTTGGCATGTCTTTTTTCGTAATAACAGTGTCTAAAAAGGTTTTGCGTTAGATAGATAGATACTCTTGTTTCCTTCAAAAGATTACAAGAATAAACTTACTACGGATAAAAACAATTACAAGAAATAATCATAGTGTGAAAACAATGGGCGATCTTATTGTTAAAAGCGATCTCTTCCAGGCAACCTTTGGATGGAGAGGAGTAATTATAAACAGTTTGATCGGAGTCGCGATGAAAATTCTATCATTTCTAAATATGGAGATGTAATACATATAATAATGTAAATATACATCCCCACTCATTATTTTATCATTATATGTATACATACATACACAAACATACACACATGCATATAAATACCTACACAAATACATAAAAATATATAACTATTGCTCACATGTATACATAAAACACAAATTTTTTAGATATCTGAATAGGTATGCTAACCAGGCAAATAAACAAATTAAAAAGATGACAACTTGCTCAAATAAAAATCTGTAAGTTTTGTTTTAAAACTTAGCAAACATTTTATATTTCGTATAGAAACTTGTAAACTATTATATAGCTGTACAGCTTACACTATTATGATTATGAGTTAGGTTATGTATATATATTATTTTTATGTGACAATTAGTCATTATAAGTATGTATCATCCATATCATTAGTGTTATAAAAAGTAACTATATTATGTCCATCATACTTTTAAATAATTGATTTGATAAAAACATTGGTCGGGAATAAAAAGTTGTCGTCGGTATAGGTACCTAATATATAATTAATTTCAGTTTCAATTATTTGAATAAATTTATTTATTTGACTTTATATTTATAAATAAATATAAAAATAAAGTATTTATCTTATAGATAGAGCTTAAATTAATCTGAATTATAAAAGTACTTTTAGTATAAAGTCACCAAAAAAAATTTATATATGTCTATGGATTTCTTACACAATAGGTACTATGAGGTAGTATGAAAATACCATAATATAAGAGAAAAACTAAAATGAAACATATAGTAACACTATGAGTAATTGTGACAAAATTATACTCGAATAGAAGCAGATTATCACAAAGCATAATCGTTTATTTGACTTAAAATCAGGGCTTCAATTCGGACGCTTTTTTTTTAAGTACGTTTGTTCCGTTGTAGAACAGGTTAAGGTCGGAGACCATGCTGTCTAGTCTTCAATACGATAAATTGTCTGGAATTCGGACGCTTTTATTAATAACTTGTAAAAATAAAATTAAAGTAAGGGTGTTACTATAAATAAAATTATTTAAGTAATTAAAAAAAAACTATATTTTATTTCACCATCTCTTTGTAATATTCGAAGCAGATAAATATTATTTTGAGATAATAATCTTAATTTAAAGTTAAGGCATAATTTTTATTAATATTAACTTAATTATGAAATATAACTTCATATAAATTTTATGACAATTATAAAAGTATTATTACAAAAGTTTAATATATTAGGTACATGTTTTTTAGCTTGTATAATCCATCTACAATTTAGCTGGATTTTTTATACTGTAGTCATAAGTTACGCATATTGAGTTTTTTACCGCCATTTTGTATCGAGCAAAGACATAAATATCTTACTGATTTGGCTAAAACCTCTTAAAATTTTTAGATAAAGGACTGGTTTTTAAATATCAAATATATTCAAATTAGAGCCTTTAGTTATTGCGTGTTTGTAGCACCCGGTCATTGCCCTTGGCAAAAACTTTTTTATTTTTTAATAGAGTTGTAGAAAACGAAGTGATTAATAACGTGATAAGTGTGTAAACTATGTAATTACTGGCATGTAAAACTAATGTAAGTTATTAAGGTTTCTTTGGTCATAGTAAATTCCCTTATTTTATATTATACTATAGCTGACCCAGCAAATGTTCTTTTGTACCTTATCGACACCTACTGGATAAAATTTCATAAAATTGGTAAAGTAGTTTCGGAAATTAATGTGACAAAATTGTAACAGAGGGTTTTTTATATTAAGGTAGGTACTTTGGTATCCTTACAATAAGTAATATATCTAATTAAAAAAATAATGATATAACTTAAAATAAGCATAATTTTGAATAAATCACTAATAATTAATGAAAGAAAAAAATGAAAAATAATAGAAAAATAAAAAATGGAATATTTAGAATGTTAAAGATACTCACTGTTAATTTATTTTCCTGTTACAACACCATGAAGATTATATTGTCACTATCCTTTTTTTTTATTATTTATACCATCATAAACGTAAAATTTATTTTAATACAACAATAACTTGAAAACAGATTTCACACGTGGAATAGAATAAAAATTACATTCATAACACAAAATTTGAATTTCGAACGCGCGACTCGAGTATGTTCGGAAACACGAACTGGGCGTAACGACGTGCGTTCTACAGACCAAGCGAGCTTTAACTGCCTTAACTTGTTCATTCCTACCGTAGAACCAGTTGACTGCGCAGGATGAGAGAAAATAGAATTACAAAAAAAAAAAATTATTCCGTATGTAACTGTGTGTTTACGCTTCAAATTTATTAATTAACGACTTCCATGACGTGGTGGTGGGTAGGTTATTTTGCATAAATCAGGTATTTGGTTTGATTCTCATTCAGGATAACTTAGGAAACTTTTTAAATTAGCATATTGGGTTGAACGCCCAAATGTTATTGTTTGGTTTCTTATAACACTAGACTAACTCAGATACAGTTTGAAAACCAGAGCTAGCCAATTAGAGTATTTGTAGCACTAAATTATTACTACATCGTAGTGTTTTTAAACATCACCTACTACAATGTATGTAAATAGTAATTATAATATGTCATTAACCCTGCTGTAACATGGACATATGACCAAAGGGAGACTTTGTAAAATCGTTTGCTTGGGTACCTCTGTCTCATTCGTGTTTGTACCGTGAAGCAATTGGGGGGAAAGGGATTGTTAGTCTAGCTAGGGTCTAACTGACTCATTGCTAGTAATACACCCTATTAAGTCGACCTCCATGCGGTCCCCCCTATAAACCATCGTGGTTAATTCTAATGGAATTCCTCACGATGTGCTAACTGACCTACTTTCATCGTCACCTAACATCCCTTACTGGTACCTCGTCAGCGTATACCGATAGCGCAGGCAGGTTACCATTACTTTATCACCCATTAAAAAAATCCGTGAAGCAGTTGTGTTGACATGGCTGTGTTTCAATTTGAAGGGTGGGAATTTACTAGTGAAAAGGAATTTATTGGGTACGGAGGCATAACACATTAGTTGTCAGCAATGGTAATGCATGGGAGGTATCATGGGCGAAACAGTATACACTGTTATGTCCATGGTACTGCTCATGTCTATAGGCGATGGTTAGCACTTTCCATCAGGTTGGTCGTCAGCTTGTTTGCTAATCTATGTTGCATAAAAAAAAATATAAAATTCTTCATTACTTAACTGCAAAGCATTTTTTATATACAAGTTTTTAAGGAAGTGCTTTATTAACTTTTTTTTATTATTATCTTTTAGCTATTAAACGTGTACTTGGCCGATTTTTACAGTATTTTCACAGTCTTGATAGTTTGACCATTGTTCACAAAATTACATCGACCTTAACCGCATTGTTTCGACTGCAATTTGACTGTTCCTAATGACCTGGTATTATATCGTCATAGTATAATTAGTATTATACAGTTTTTATATACTGTACCTCCCTAGCTCATTATGGTTGTTTATATATTTTAGGGGTCCATATAAAAATGTCTTTGTCTATCCGTTCGTTCCTTTGTCACAGTGCTATATCTCAGGAACTATTTATGCTATTGATTAGAAATTTGGAATCTTTGTAAGTATTGATGACATTTTTTTTTTCAATTAGGTAATTAGTTTTAGTCGTGACTTCATTTACCTGATATAATATGTATAGATATGTATTTAATTAACGTAATAAACTAACCCTTTTTCACATTAATTTCTGATGTTAGTAAAGATATTAGATTTTTTTTTATTTATTTATTCATTAAAATAATTTTAACATTTAAATAAGAGCTTTTTTTATTTTAAAGAAGTCCTTCTAGTAGCCCGTAACCTGGATGTGTTGAGACACTTTAAAAGTACGGGTTATCAGTAATTTTTTTACGGATGAAGGTGGAGCTTTTTTTAATGGATGATAATGGAATGTTTACTCTGCCTGCGCTATCGGTATACACTGGCGGGGTACTAGTGAGGGATGATAGATAATGATAAAACCGGTCAGTTGGCCCATCGTGACGAATTCAACAATAAATCAACATAACAGTTTCCAAGGGGAACTGCGTGGAGGTCAACCTTATAAAGTTTATTTATTTATTTCTTATTGTATTCTATAATATAATTAGTAGATAACATTTCAATTATGGACCCTGTTAACTGTTGTAAAGTATATTGTTAGTGATGGGATTGCTAATCTTCATTTTTAACAATACTTTTTCCTCCATATGAAGCTGGAGTGGCGCCTGTACTAAGACAATAGCGGGGTACCAGTGGAGGATAAAACAACTTTATTTATTGGAAGAAAATGGAATGGCAGCCCCGGTTTCGCCATCGGCATAAAATGGCAGGGCACCAGTGAGTAATAATAGGCAAGGATGAAAACAGGTCAGTTAATTCATCGTGACAAATCTAGGAATTAAATACTATGGTTTCCAAGGTGGTCGTGTGGAGGTCGTCCTGATAGGGTATATTGCTAAAAAGAAATTATACTCCATTACTAACAGGCCCTTTTCTCCTGGATGTAAGGATTAGGTTGAGGTCAGATCAGTAAACCCACCGTGAAGAATTCGCTAAGAATTAACCACAATGGTATCCAAGGAGGAACACGTGGAGGTCGATTTGATAGTATATATTGCTGCTGGCAATGAGGGCTAGTGGGCAGTAGTAAGCTAAGTGCTTAAAACTTTTTAGTTTCTTAGATTCTACTTATCTGGACCTCTCGTAATTTAATTGACCATTGTGCATTGTACGCATAGAAACTTCTTAAATGGAACTGTATTGTAGTGACTAACTCCAATTAACAAGAGGAAGACTGTACAAAATTCTTTGCATCGGCACCTCTGTCCCACTCATTTTTCTGCCGTGAAGCTGCTTTGGTAGTTGTGGCCAGGTTGTTATTCCAAAGGTGCTCGTTTCATTTATCTTAGCCAGGCTGTAATTCCAAAAGTGCTCGGTATGGGATCTTTTCCCCCGATAAAAGTGGAATTAAAGTGTCATGGGACAGGAGATGGTCTTACCGTCAGCTGATGCAGTTGAATGTGATAACTGTAATGGGACTGTTATGGGTTTGTCGGGTTATTGTGTACGTGACTTGAGTATTGATCTGGTACGGACAATTCCACGAGGTTTACTAGTATATATATATATATATATATATATATATATATATATATATATATATATATATATATATATATATATATATATATATATATATATATATATATATATATATATATATATATATATATATATATATATATATATATATATATATATACACTCACTCACACACACACGCACGCACGCATGCACGCACGCACACATGCACGCACGCACGCACGCTCGCACGCACGCACGCACGCACGCACGCACGCACGCACGCACGCACGCATAAATAACAATAATATATCACTTCCTATAAATAATAATAATAATCATCTCAGCTCATCGTGCACTGTTGAACAGAAAGTGAAATTGAAAAAAAAAATAGATCACAGGCCTCCCCCATAGACTGCCATAAAGATATAAAATAAAATAAACAGGTAAAACATTGTATTGTAAATATAATAAATATAATAAATATGACATATTGTAAATATTACGCTTCCACTATTGAAAAAAATTTAGATATTTTTATATTCCAATCATGTTCAAATAAAAACACGAAAAAAAATAGGGAGAACTAACAAAATGGAAATAAACATGGAACATTTTGTATTGTAAAAACTTGGCAATTTTGCACATGCCAATCAGGCTTTGCTTTTTTCAACCAGTTTTACATAACAGCAGTAAAAATGCAATCACTCTTCTAACATATATATTTTCAATTGAGTTCAAAAAAAGGTGGTTCTCAGTTATTTTTTTATATTTGAGTTACGAGGTAACACCTTATAACTTCGTCAGTTATAAACCGATTTGGAAAATTACTTTTTTTTTATCTGAATGGATGTACTTTCAAATTAGTCCCATAGAAATTTTATCGAAATTAGTTTAGTAGTTTAATATATATATATATATATATATATATATATATATATATATATATATATATATATATATATATATATATATATATATTATAGAGACAGACTTTGAAACAAAAAAACATTGATTAAAATCAATTCTGAACAAACATGTTTTATTTGTAAACATTTTTATATGTATGTCACTCGATCACGCTTGAGTGGCTAAGCAGCACGCTGATTGCCCTCGCAAACGGTTCGCGATAGCCGAAAATTGCATTTAATGTTTATTGAAAATCTTTGTTTTTGGACAAGTTTTGTTGATACTTACAACTTATTAGCTCTACAGAGCCATACAGGAGCTACAATTATTATTATAAATTAGGTTTGCGCATTGTTACTGAATCGTAGTTGTCAGAGAAAATTACATTCAACCTTTGTATTTTTAGGAAACTATCGTTTCATTAGCTCATCATCATCATCATTAATAAGAATAAGAATGCTTTCTTTCTATATTTTTTTAGAGTCAGTAATTTTCTTTTTTATGCAACTTAGAATGACAAACAAGCTGACAGCACACCCGATGGAAAGTGGTAACCGTCGCCCATAGACATGAGCAGTATCATGGACGTAACAGAGTATACTATGCCATTCCTGAGGACTCAGGTGTTATTCCTCTGTGCCCTGTAAATTCACTGCCATATCCCACCCTTTAAACTGAAACACAGTCATGCAAACACAACTGCATCACGGTAGAAACACGAATGGGACAGAGGTACCCAAACAAATGAATTTTATACAGAGTCTCCCTCTGGTGAAGTAATGTTTGTACTCTCACAATAATCGTTATATTCACTGTAGTTTATGTAAATTACAAATTGTTTGAATTCATTATTATGATTACAAAATTGTTGCGATCATGCAACGTGTTGCGATCGATACTGTGTTTATTTTAATTCTTCAATTATTTAATTCAATTGCACTTACTAACGCCTTGTTTGGAATATGATATACATTGACGTGAAAGATAGACGGACAGACAAACTCACTCAGTAAGGAAGATTAAAATGAATATTAACTAAATAATTCCTCGACACCAATCAACAAGATGTAAGCACCTAATAAAAATAAGGCTCGCCACGATTTAATTAACGAAAGGCAAATGACAAAATTGTAGGTACTCGCCAATTTCCCGCCAAAAGACATTAAATTAATTAAATATCTGTAAATAGA